AATATCGCAAATACCGTAACAGCACAAACGAAAGTTTTTGCAGCACAAACCAGCACAAACGAAGCACAAACGAATGACACCACTTTTGTCCAATTTGGAGCTACCTGGGGGGCTGAGTGACGTCATCAGAAATATAGAAAGCTGGAATATCGCAAATACTGTAACAGCACAAACGAAAGTTTTTGCAGCCCAAACCAGCACAAACGAAGCACAAACGAACGACACCACTTTTGTCCAATTTGGAGCTACCTGGGGGGCTGAGTGACCTGTGGATGACCCCAAAAGTATTGTTTAATATCTCAAAAACCGTAACAGCACAAACGAAACTTTTTGAAGCACAAACGGCTGACACCATTTTGGCCTTATTTTGCGTAGGGTGGGGGGCCAACTTCACGCACGAGTGTTATGAATAGTTTCCTTCCTTCCTTGTTTCTTTCCTTCCTTCCTTCCTTCCTTGTTTCTTTCCTTCCTGCCTTCCTTGTTTTTTTCCTTTTTTCCTTATCTTCCTTCTTTCCTTCCTTCCTTCCTTGTTTCCTTCCATGTTATGTTATGAAATGTTATGTTATGCCACACAGCAGAAGAAGAAAATGTATTTATTTGGTAATGTGTTAATGTGCAGTTTTTGTGAAATCAGTCCCCTCATTAAAATGCACATTTATGCAAATTCCTATCAGACCATCTACTCTATAAGTAGAGACTTTCTGCTTTGAATTATTCTAGACTTACTGTGTTCAAGAGTATGTCTATTGCAGAGTCACAGACAGCAGCATGAACATAATGTCCCACCAGGCTACAATAGTAACGGGACATAAAAAGGCATTATGAAATAAAAACAGACTTTGGAAAAATAGCACTTTGAAATAATAATGTCCATAATCACAATAAAAATAACCACTAAAAACTCATTAAGGAAGAATGATGAAATACCATTTCAAAATGACAAGTTTTAATATTTCTTTAATGATTTCACAAATTGTCTGTTTTACATATTTTATTCATATAGTATTAATTTCAGTGTTTATTATTATTATTATTATTGAACACTGGGGATTTGGATTTGAACAGGAAGTGGTTCTTCCCCTATTTTAGTTTCAGCTCCTAACGATGTCTATTAGTGCAGCTGTCCCCCAACGGACAATAAACAGCATAATACTTTAAACTGTACATTTGTGGTTGACAGCTGCCCCCTAACGGCCAACAGACAGATAACACTGACTGTTCACATTAGTGGTTGAATCTCAGCAAGTACTATCAATGCGTTGCTGCAGTCAGCATCTACAGGCATTTTCTTTAGGAAATGCATTTCTCATTTGTTTCAACTACCATACAAGCTTAGAATTTGAGTTACTGTGGAGTATCTTGTGAATTTTCCAACAGGATTCAATAGTCTTAAGATTAGACTGTTTCATTAATATAATTTCGTAAAGTTCTAAAATGTAGTCTAGTAAATAGTACAATGAAACCAAAGTATAAGGTAGCAGCAAATGGCAATACTCAAAGTACAAATACCTCAAAATTATATATATAAAGTATTAAAATAGATCAACATAACTCTAGGATTATCAAATCCAACAAAGACGATCCTGGCAAAAATTGAAGGGAAACAAAGACTCCACAATTTTTTGTAATTTTAATTATGCAAAAATAAACTTTATTGCAACTTTTGATGAGCAGAAGAAATACTGCTAATTACAGTGGAGAAGAGTAGTATGCAACAGAATGAATCAGTACTGAAGCTATTTATCACAGAGATGGATAAAGTTTAATTTCAGCAAAAGTGTACCAAGTTATTAAAACCAGTCTTAATAATTAAACGTGCACATTTTGCCAACTTGTATTCTGTGGTGATTAGGGACAGCCCACAGATCAACTTAACACTAATTACAAGTTTGTACAAAGGGGGAAAAAACAGATGCTGAATGAATTTTGGTGAATTGAATACTGTACCAAATACTGTTATGCTGAAGAATTACAAGCAATTGTTACCTAAAATATGAACCAGGCCTGCAAAAGGCTCTGTCAAAGAAAAATATTAAACAGCATCTTCAGCTTTTAGTAACAACTTCAAACATTTACAGATTATAATACAAAAGAATAAAAATATCACCACTGGCTTTTAATCATTATGGCTTTTGGACTGTGCAGTGAGAACCAAATGTAGCTGGATTCATATATTATGGGTTTGTCTTATTTTTCAGTTGTGCTTCTATACATAAGTCTGAGTATTCTGGCCAAAATGCAAATCTTATATTAAAATACATTCTCTGTGATGAATTATGAGCTTTTATTAAATGACAGTTTCAAAATTAAAATTTCCTTTGGTTACAGTAAATGCTCTAAATAATAAAGTAACATTTCTAATACATATCTCATTTTGTTTGGGACCTATTAGGGACAAAAATCTGTAATATTAGCAAATCTTAATGTTTTCCAAAATAATAATTAATTATAATTCTTTCAAAATAAACTCCAATTAAAATTATGTATAAGCTCAGTTGCGTTTTAATAATAATAATAATAATAATAATAATGAAGGCCTTTTAAAACAATAAGCTCTAGTTCAAATATTAAACCTGATCCAAAATAGAACAGAAATATACAATTCATTTAGACAGCAATGTCATCTGCACTACTACAGTATAACTCCAAAGAAAATTAGAATTACAGGTAATAAATAAGATGCGTGAACTGAGTTTTGTCATCGTGCTCAAGCACCAGATTCAGTAGTATAGTTAGGATGAGAAAAATTGAAATTAGATGCTTACCTCAGGTCCGTTTTCCCACATTACAGTTAGGATGCAAGGAAATAAAACAGACCCAAGATGTGCCAAACCAAACACTTCATTCTGCAGCTTCTCTTCATAATAGCTTAATAACTAATCCAGCTATTAGCTCACATACTGTATGAATGTGCAGTTAACCAAAGCTATCTATTACTCTGCCCAGAGGATCCTCCTCCCTGTACAGTTACTGAGTGCCTTCTCATGATCCTAAACCTAATTTATTGCCCTTGACTGACTTCGTCCCCGGTAGGAAAAATACATTTACAAAGAAGTGTATTTGTGGTACCTGCCTGCTCGACCACATCAAGGCTCAAATGGTCAGAGCTGGCACTGTCAAATGTCTTCTCATGTCAGCTAGGTTCAAAAGAGTTACATATGTACAAAAAATTGCACTTGTTCAACTGCAGGTTTGTTTCCTTTTCCTCCACTGATAGATAACTGAGGTCTAAATCTGTTCAAGTCTGTAAACTGCTGTTCCACGTTAACCACTTGTGTTTCACGTTCTCCCTGCCACAAAACCACTTCTTTCAACCACACAAGAATCCCTGAAACTCAAAATGGAAGAGAACTGAAGAATACATTTGAATACAACCACAAATACTAGACATCCTATGTAAAATATGCCATTTGTACATGCCTTCTGAAAGCACCAGAAAACATTTCTAATGCAAAACTAACTAAAACGTGCTAAACAGTGATTATACAACGATCATAGTATATTGGCATGACACAACTGACTAGCAATCAAGGTGGTAATCAGTGAATACAAGTGATGTGTGCAGTGATGGATAGCTTGTTGACAAAGGTTGTGTGAAGGATGAAGATGTGCTGCTCGATTTCCAGTTTCAGCAGCCTTTGGAGCAGCTTCCAGTGGCGTTATGTCCAGTCAAATTCATGCTCTCCAGTTAACATGACTGGTCTGCCTGGCTCAGAAAGCAGGGGGAGAGGGGGTGTGTGGGTGAAATCGGAGGTGAAGGTGGAATGAGTTAAGTGTGTGCAGGAGGAGGGTGCGTCTTTGTGGTTAAGCCCATTAGCTTGGTGTTAGTTCATTTTAGGAGGCAGTATCAGTGAGAAAAGTCATCTCAAGTCTGTTGTTCCAAACTGACCCATCATTAACAACCCAATTAGATGTGCAGAGTTGGGTTCAGGCTGGGAATTCATTTCTGACATTTTCAGTGGCACAGTGGCTCAGAAGGCTGTGGTGACGGCGTTTCCTCGCCATGGGCCCAGACGGATCATTTCCCCTGGCACCTTGTCCAGCTGCTCATATGCCAGTCGCCCCTCCTCACCTGCGATGAACAAAGCAGGACAAAGGCTTTAACGTTGGGTCACAATAAAGGTGTGATGTGGTACACAATTTAAACTGAATCTAAATAAAACTTGTCCTGGTATTCTACATGCTTGATTTATATACATCTTAATGTTTTAATATTTTATAGTATGAGATAGATTGTAGCATCTGTGTATAAAATGCCCTTCTGAAAAATGCTGTTAAATATAGCAAAACACAAAGCCAAACAAATGTTGATTTCCATTAATTTGTTATTCACCAAACGTGAGCAGGGTTTCTATGGCGACATGGCGAAGCTCCTCATCAGCTGAATCACACAGCGCTACCACTGCCCTGATACTCTCTACAGCCTGCAGACAGACATAGGTAAGAGGTCCCTGAAAAGATTACTTGTCAAATACACAGAAGATGTGGGAATGTAATGGTCTAATTGAGAACGTTTGTGTTTTTAATTACATGTACACTACCAGTCAAAGGTTTGGACACACTGTACCATTTTAAATTTAATGGCAAAGTGTGTCCAGACTTCTAAGTCTGAAGGGTTAAGCTTGGTCATTATCTGTATTAACAGTATTTTCAGTTGTCCCCATACAGAGACTAAAACCATCAATGATTTGCCTCATGATTAATTAATATCAGTCAATCTGACTTCCATTGTTGTTCAAAAATGATTAAAAACACATAAAAGAAACACACCACTGCAGTGATTGACTTGTTTCCTCATTACAAAATACAAGATGCTGGTACTTTTTAAAATGGTTGCCCCAAAGGCTCTGAACACCCATAACGTTTTACAGCATCTGAAGTAAGCAAGAGTCAAGGGCCCATGCACTGGATATTAACAAATACTAGTCTTGTGTTTTGTGAGGAAACGTGTTGCCCAGTGCAGTGATGTGTTTTTAATTGTTTTTGAACATCAGTGGAGGACTACGGCACACACAAACAAGCTAATCCAGGACTGATGGCCTGCTGAATAAGTAGATTACTTAAAAGTAGAATACCATTACATTATAATTTTCATGCTGCAGTCACTACTTTCTCATTACTTTTTGATGTTGACAGGTAGCAAATTCTATTTCACAAAGTTTATTACAGTTGTATGTAATGGAAAGAAAATTAGCCACAAACTGAGACCTAAACCAGCCCCAAATCTATATATGATGTAAGAGGTCACTGACCTGCAGACAGCTGAGAGCTGAACAGGCTGCTCTCTGGCTCTGAACTCCAGCCTCTGACAGTGCCTGGGTGTAGCACTCCACTGCCTGTAGACACACACATTAACATTCAGACTGTCAAAACTAACAAAAACTGGCATAAATGGCAAACGTCCTCACTTTTGCACATCTCACCCTGGTTTTGAATTGGCTGTGTGATTCTCCAGAAGAGAGGTAGTCGGCTGCTGCCTTATTGACCCGAGAGTCCTCTGCAGTGAGCAGGGAGGCCAGCGCCCGCAGGGTGCTGCTTCTAGGCCACAGGGATGACACAGGCACCTCCTCCAGTTCTGCTAGACACCGAGCATAGTCCCCACCACACAGAGCTTCTGCAAACATCTCTGTGCATGACCAACACAGATACATGTCATAAGTTTAAATCCAAGATAGAGCCAGTTTGTAGAGAAACATTCAGATGGATTGTTTCTGTACTCCTCTGGCTCATTGTTCTTTATTTAGGAGTTTTAGTGTTTATTTTAGTTATTAGAGAAGTGTGGAAGATGCCCAGTAATTGCAGTTTAACTTTTTCTCTAAATGGATGCATATAATCAGCAGGACATTTGCACACCCTCTGCATTTTCTCTTGATCATGTCTAAATGGAGGCGTTTCTGAGATGTTATCAAGAACAGCTTTGGTACAGTCCTTGACTCTGATGAAAGAGTCTTTTTAGAGCTGGTAAGTTTTGGACATGGGGACATAAAATCCTTCTGAAAAGTAGATGAAAGTGTATTTCTCTTTGTTTGAAAAAAGTCCAGGTATTTTTCCTGTCAAAAACGACTAAAAACTAAAGGAGCCTTAGCTATATAATATAACTTCCTGTCTAATTCACAATTGATATTACTGTCTTAAATACTGTAATGCTACAAAAAACTAATCTGGATATGCAACACTTTTTACCAAACACACTATACCTTTCATATAAAGCACCACCTTTGTTAGTTTACATATTCTTTAAGAAAAAATGTGGGATTTCTATTTAAGTGGCTTGTTGTAAAGCTTGACACCAGTACTGTGTGTTTGACTCCAATGTATGCAGATGGAGATCTATGTTTGCAGGAAAAAAATATATTCTCATTTGAATATCCACTTTTGCTCACCCTCTCTGGCCAGGCGCAGCAGATGTATCTCCATGTCCTGAACTGCATGTTGTAAGATGTAGCTGTGGAACTGAAACACAGTCAAGACGTCTTGGGACAGCACTGAAGCTGGAGGATTTTGTGACACCACCAGGTCGCTCCTGTCCACCATCTCGCCCACTACGACACCAATCACTGGGGAGAAGAAAAGGAAATCGGTAATTAATAACATACAAAATAAGAGTATGAATAATATGAAGTATAACCTCTGGTCTGTTTGCAGAGAGAAAACCGTTCTGAGCAAACCTGTGTCAGCGCTGTGTGGGTGTCTTTCCTGCAGCACGGCCATGTAGCGCTGGTTCATGTGTTCGAATACTCGGTCCAGTGTGGTGTGGAAAAGTCCTGCAGACCCGCTGCACTCTGACCACAGAGTCATCAGTTCCGGGCGCTCTGCGAGGCCTGGGAGAACTGACAGAGGAGGACACAACAGAAGCTCAGATGCTGCAAAGCATCAAACCAGCCAATCTGGTGTACAGTAAATACTGTATTTCTCATGCTGTTCTAAATGCAAGATACACACACTGTTGCATAACCAAACATAATATACTAATAAACCACTTGTTGGTGCCTACCATCAGCAGCAGATGTAATTGCTGCCAGTTTGTCCACACTGATTTCTGCTAGCTCCTCTAACAGCTGAGTCTGCCTGGACAGTTTGAGAAGCAGACTCTGACGCTTCCACGCACACACCCCACTGGTCAACAGCTGCCAGTACATGAAGAATAGAAGGCACGTTAGACCAAATTTTGGAGATTGTACTGTTTGATGATGCAAGCATGAAACCTTTTCTTTACCAGTATTAGGTGATTACAGTACTGCAGGTGGATGACGATTGCTACGTCCAGATTCTCGTTTCCAGTTGTGAGCGGCAGGGGGCTTCCAGCCACACTGTTGCCCACTCCAGTGTCTTCTGTCAGGGCTTCACTTAGGTGTCCTCTGGCTTCTGGATGCTGCCCCCTAAAGAGGTGCATACCCAGAGTCACCACTGAGTGGCAGCAGCATCTCACTTCACAACAATCTGTGCTGTAGTCAAAAGGTTTTCAGTTCTGTGTTGCTGCTAGTGCTGAAAAACTATGCTGAATTTTTTTTTCTGTCCAACCAAACACTTAATGTATGATTTAAAATGATTTAGACTGTTGTTTTTTTTTACAGTGAATTGAGCTGTAGTTCTGTTTTGTAAGAATGAAACTGTTCAAGATTGTGTTATGATTGCACATGAGTATATTCACAGCTTTAATCAATGAAGAGCAGAGAATTAATTGACTTGTCTCACTCCGTCCCCCACTTACCCGATCCTTTCTCCATCTGCATCAAAAAGTGGAGATCTCTGTGGAGGAATGCTGAGGACAGCACTATCATCTCCAGTGTCCTCATCATCAAAGTCAGAGGTGTTGAGGAAGTCAAAGCTCTCCAGGGCACTCTCCACTGTGAGACTGAGGCTGGATGAGCGGCTCCTATGGCTAGGGAGACGACACTGTGGAGACGGGGCATGGTAAGACGGAGAATATAGCGGGTTAATTTTACTTTTTGCTCTTACAAATCCTGGTGGATATCCCATATACACAGCTAGGCTCTTTATTTGAATAGCTTGATTTTGTGACATCTGAAACAACTAAATTGAGTTTTTTAGGTCATCTTTCACCTTATGGATTACTTTCAGGTTGGCACTGAACTCGCATTTCAGTAAAATATATATATATAGAGAGAGAGGGAGAGAGTGAGTACTTTGTGCGATTCTGTTTGTATTTTTTCCCTGATGAAGGTCTGCAGACTGAAACACTGACATTAGTGTTTTTGCGTGCAAGATTACATTTTTGTTACTTTCCATTTTCTTCCTTAAATAGTGGATATTTTGTTAACATGCCATTTTGACAGTACATTCCTTCAAATGAAAAGTCCCAGATACAGTGATGGGTTTGTTTTCTAGACACTTTGGAATTGCCTAACAAAGTAAATTTAAGATACTTAGAAATATTTCTAGAATTATTATTAGAATTATTTTGCACCCCCTTTACAATGTCAAGCTTTTTACTATGCAAGTTAATAGCAAGTACTTTTGCATAAATATTAGATGACAGGGATTTAAAAAGCATAATGGTAAACAAAAACATGTTATTTTGAAAGGCATCATCTCTCTAACAACTTAAAATGTTTCTTTGTACATTCAGGGGCAAAAATGTACACAGAAGTGAGAGCTGGTTAAAAGGAAAAGGGAGAAAGACTAAGGGTTCACTCACCTTCAATAGGTCCTCCAGGCGCATCACTTCCTGCTCCAGGTCCTGCAGCTCTCGGCAGCGGTGAGTCAGTGACTCCAGCCTCATCAGCAGCCTGGGGATGGCCTCCTCCACGCCGCCTTT